AGAAAAACGAGGTCAACCGATTCTAACTTCAACTCAGGAGCTGCGGTGTTTCTGTGGTCTCCCTCAGAAAGTCAGTCACATTTAATTATTCACGATTTCAATCATTTAATTACATCAAAATCGAATGGTTAGAAAATATATCACCTCCCTTTGAGTTGTCATGATGGTAAAATAGGCACATTAACTCATTCGCTGCCAGCATTTCTCACAGTTTTTACTGATTTTTTAAGAGTCACAGAATGCTGTGTGCTAGGAGGATGTCGATGCCAAAACAACCAAAACAAAGTGGAGACTCACCTCTTACATAAGGAAAAATCCGCGCGTTTCGAGCATTATCCGTTCTTTCATAATCCGTTGTTGAATTGGGATCGGCAGAAGCTTTTCCGGTTCGCACCTCACTTTTTTTTACAGGAACGGCCCAAAACCATCTCTTAACACTTGGATGTTCTGCATCCTGATCACATGACGTGTGACATACGTGGATGAAGATCGGCTATAGAGCTGAGATGTTTGTTCTCATGGTGCGGGGGCTCGTCCGACGCCCACACAGTAAAAAAATGCATATGACGACTTTAGTCGTCATTGGCAGCGAACGGTTGGATTTAAAATGACATCTTTAGTTATTTGCAGTGAATGAGTTAAACTTAAAGTGTTTTTTAACCAGGCTTTAATCATGTTTATTTCTGCTATAAAGTTGGCATTTGTAACATGGGAGTCGATGAGGATTTGCTTCTTTCTGGTGCCAACCCCTAGTGGATGCGGGTGGAACTACAATTTGTGCCACTTCCTAGTTGGCTTCAGGGGGCTGTTCCAGAAAGCAAGCTAATCCCAGAACCAGGCTTTCTTCTGAAAATCCCCATTAACTGCCCCAGAATCGGTTTCACGAACATGGGTAGCCTGAAGCCCCTCCCATTCACCATGGTAACACCTGCTGGAGAACAAACCTGCTTGTGGCAGGGTTGCAGCTAAGCTTGCTTAACTTTGGTGAACATGATTGGACAAGGAAAGTGACATCCCCTTTTTCTTGTCAGTGGCGGGCATCAACCTAGCGGTTAATTAGCGACATTGCTGGCCCACAGCGGCAGCAGCAGTGGCAGCTTTGTTTTTAAACGGACTATAAGGAAGTTTGACAGTCAAAACGTGTATAGAAATAATAAATGTCTTCTTCATACATTCTCCTGCAATGCCCTGGTCCTGTAGAATGAGCCCTGGCATTTTTACTGTGATTGCCTGTTTTTCTGTAAAATCACAGAAAAAGAGAGCTGCTCGGGTCGAGCAGGCTGCTTCATGCGCGTTCACGCTCAGGCATAGCCCGTAGCATTTGCTATCCGTAGCTTTAGCAGCAGCGAGAGAGAGGCAGTGCCACTTTGTCGCTGTTCCTAACGCCTAGTGACAAAGTGACGTACATTTCTGAGGACCCTTAGCTACTTTCTGTAGAACTTTCTTCTAGATATTGCCTGGAAATTAGCAACAAAATAGCCATTTTCACCCAAAACCGTTCTTTGGATTGACATTGTTTCAGTTGTCATCAAGGATATAAACGTTACAAATACGATGAACGTCACTGGTGCTTTAGCTCACCTAGTAAGACGTCAGACTCTCCTGCTGAAGACGCAGGTATGACTCCGGGTGTGAACATAGTTTGTTATTTGGAGTTTCTTTTTTACTTAATGATCATTTTTTTACAGTAACAAGACGCCCAAATTTTTATTTGAGACTCGCCGAAAGGCATTGAATTCACGGATAAAAAAGATGTGGGTTCAACTTTCATTTTGGAATAATTTTTCAAGGAAGGGAAGGGAATGATCTGAGCATGCAGGAGGACTGACCCATCTTAAACCTTTGTCGGCTGTGCTGAAGAGAAAGGTACAGAACCAAATTATTTAATTAATTAGCTGTGCGTTCTCCTGTCCTCTGTCCTCCGGGCCACACACACACACACACACACACACACACACACATGGAGCTGACAGACTCAGCTTTTATTTTCGTTAAGGAGTGTGCACGTATAGCATGCGCGCCTCGTGCACGAGCCTACTATTGAAGCTGCTGTTACGCTTTTGGCCTGAGGGGGCAATCGCGAGCATAAAAATTCAAATGTCTGAAAAGTCCCTTTAAAGGCTAAATTATTAATAAATGTGGAGTTCAAACTTTTAAAATTGAGATCTAATTGGATTTACATCTTAACGATTTTGTATTTAATCTTCATTTTCAACCAGGAGCGTTTCAGCTCCAGGTGTCAACCTTAATAATAATTATAATTATACATCAGCTGTTGTCTGGGATGGACCCATATAATCAACATGCTGTCCTCTTTGTGAATGTGTTAAATTCCGTTTCGTGTGGATTTTGAATTAGTGGTTTTTATAAGCTATAAGCCATAATCATGAACATTATAACAAATAAGGACTACCAGGCTTTGCATGGAATGAGTATGTCTCATACATTAATTTCACCTTTTAAGTTGAATCACTGACATAAATGAACCATATTCAGATTTTTGGAGTTTCACCTGAATGTCTGTTTTAACGTTTCTGCCAAAGTATCCATCCAGTAGGAAACTAAAGGTTGGGCGAAGGCTCTTAATAAAGGTCAAATTATGAAGATTGGAGATCTTTGATGTAAATTAATGTTGTTCTCAGTCAGTGTGGATTTTTCTTTTTTAAACATAGCCAGGAAGCCATCCACCATGGGTAAGGTAGTAATGATTCATAAGTTTTACACAGGAACACACTTGGCCAAAAATCCCTGTTAAGTATTGGAGGCAGGGGAAGAGAGGAGGCAGAGGAACAAAAATCAGAAAAGAATGATGCTCCTCTTTTATGGTTTCATTGGCTTTACAAATAATTTATACTTCTGCAACAGGATTGTTGCAGAGTTCATTTAGGAACCATCACATGTTCCATGTCCCGTCGCCAAATTCCAATAGAATATTACAAGATTAAAACAAACCAATTTTCATCAACCTTTCCTCTCCTCCTATGAGCCATGATGGTGATTAGTATTCCAGTTTTCAGTCTGATCATTTCTTAATCAAACAAAAGTGATTGTTCCCATCCCGTATTTATGGTAATTTATCCAATTTGTTTGTGAGTCTGCGGATGTCTCTTAATTTCTCTGCATCTCATGAGCTGAGATCCTTACCAGCAGAACAGGAACACAGCTTGAATAAAGCACTGATATGCACCAGCATTCTGATTTCTATCCTTTGTGACGCATGATTTATTTAAGACCTGGATTTCATCGGGTCCAGATTTGTAGATGTAACAGATATCTGCATGTGGACAGCATGCGAACAAAGACAAGTTATCTGTAAAAACTAACATAGAGATTAATATAAACAGAAAAGCAGTTAGATTTCGTTTTTTGTCGTCTTCCTCCACTTATCCGGGTCCGGGTCGCGAGGGCAGCATCCCAACTAGGGAGCTTCAGACCGTCCTCCCCTCAGCCACCTCCACCAGCTCCTCCGGCAGGACCCCAAGGCGTTCCCGGACCAGATTGGAGATGTAACCTCTCCAACGTGTCCTGGGTCGACCCGGGGGCCTCCTGCCAGCAGGACATGGCCGAAACACCTCCCCAGGGAGGCGTCCAGGAGGCATCCTGACCAGATGCCCAAACCACCTCAACTGACTCATTTCAATCCGGAGGAGCAGCGGTTCTACTCCGAGTCCCTCCCGAATGTCTGAGCTCCTCACCCTATCTCTAAGGCTGAGCCCAGCCACCCTACGGAGGAAACTCATTTCGGCCGCTTGTATCCGCAATCTCGTTCTATCGGCCGCTGCAGTTCATCTCCGTCCTCAGTCTCCATCAAAGTTATTAAAAAGAAAAAACGAGTTGAGTTTACATCCTTGTCTGTTAGTGCAGCCAACCACGCAGCAAGCTAAAACCATTTTACTGTCACATCAACTAAATAAAAATGATAAAAGGCTACAAACTGGCGTGTTTAGACTACCTTCACTGGAGTTTCTACGGGTGTAAACGGTCTTTTTGCCGTCCGAAGGGAGCGGTCACATGAGTGGCGTGATGTCACGTGCAAAGGGTCAATACAATGTTTGTACCACATCCTGTCACCTGAAGCTGCTTCTTTCTTTAGTTGACTTCTGCATCCTCAGTCAAGTGCACCGGAGCTGTTTTCCCCAGAGAATTACTCACAAGGTGAATATTCCTCCATGACCACTGCTGTAATAAAATTATGGGTAAAGTTGACCTTTAACTTTTTGGTTGATTTATTTCTTACAGTACTCCTCGTATAATACTTAATAGTTTTTTCAGTCTATTTGATGTTTTCCTTGTGTTTTTAATTATTATTATTATTATTGTTTTACTGTTTGGTATTGTGCTAATGTTATTGCTCTCATGTGTTATGCTTTGTACATGAGACAATGGATGGATAATTTATTTATTTAGGCTAAATCTGTTGTATTTACGAGATTATGTTCTTAACAAAATGGTAAAGGCAAGGTGGGTTTGGTGTCTTGCCCAAGGACGCAATAACAGAGCCAGAATCTAACATTCAACATTCCAATTACTGGACAACCCGCTCTACCTCCTGAGCTACTGCTGTCCCACTACAAGTAAATGAAATAAATAAACTTGATGATGACACATTAACTAACCAGGTGGGATGAGATGGATCCTGGGTGATTCAATGCAACATTAATGGAAGCTGAGAAAAATAAATAAAACTTCAAGTCTAAAGAGTTTCATAAAAGTCAACAAATGACCAAATAAAAGAGCGTAACTACAGGGAATAAAATCAAAAGCTAAAAACACAAAGAAATGTCTAAAAAATTACTAAACAAACAAAACAACACAAAAACAACCAAACTGAAATGTCGTATTGTCATGTTTTATTTAAGAGCTAAGAAAATATTAGTTTGTATAAATTCATTTATAGGTGAGAGTCAGGTGTTTTTCATCTAAAGGAGTAGAAAAAGGAGCACCCTTGTTGTTTCCGATGACTCCGGCAGGGGGCGCTCTCCTCCTTCCTCCCCAGCACCGGACGGTCAGACACCGGGGAGCTCAGCTCACCGCGAGCGCGTGAGGGATGAATGAACTTTAAATCTGCCTCACAACTTTCACCGCGCCTCTCCGACCGTCAGCCTCATCCTTCCTCCTCTCTCTCCCTCTGTCTCCCTCCTCCGCTTCTGATCAGGAGAGGGGAAAAAAGCAACCCAGAGAAATATCTCCTCTACAATCATGGATTTACTGCGATTAGGATCCGGCTGTGACTGATCGGAGCTCTCCTCTCCTGTCCTCTTCTGTCTCTGCGGATGCTCACGAGCATCGTGAGTCGAGATGATGGCATCGATAGGGGAATTCGACCCTCTCAACACCAGAGTCCCCGCAACTAAAATAGAAGTTACTGTTTCATGCAGGTAAGACCCGGCACCACATGTTGTGTTTTAATGTCCCCCACTAATAAAAGTCTATTTTTACCTGTTTAATTAAGTCTATTAACAAGAATCTATCTATCTATCTATCTATCTATCTATCTATCTATCTATCATCTATCTATCTATCTATCTATCTATCTATCTATCTATCTATCTATCTATCTATCTATCTATCTATCTATCTATCTATCTATCTATCTATCTATCTTTAAAATCCCTTAATTAATGAAGTCTGGACACTGGCAGTGTCTATTACCATGGAATAAATGTCTGAAAATAGAACAAATGCATTTTTCAGTTCATTATTTTTTTCTTATTTTTTCTCTAAACCAAAATGACTTATTTATGCACCCGGATTTGATGGCTTCCTCAGTTGAACGATCGTCTGACTGACTGAGTGAGTGACCGATCACTAAAGCTCAGCAGGATTTTTTCTCCAGCTCGCCCGCCTGCTTGCCCGGCGGTGTGCTGGCTGTCTTTCCATTTCACTCTTGAATTATGAGTAGCTGTTGCTCCTGAGATCCTCCTGAGATCACCTGGATGTGAAGTCGACAGACCCGAGTCGGACAGACAGCTTCGGACCTGGGAGTGAAAGCTGGGCTCATATGAAAGCAGGGATGATTTGGGTTTGTTATGTTAGACATCAGGGTTTTCTCCACAGTGTGCTGTAGTGTGGAGGCTGTATTTTGTCTTGGTTCGCTGTGACACCTAATGCAAAAACAGTGTCAAATAGACGTAACTCAGACAAGGACTAATGGAATGACAGAATGGTCTGGCCAGAGAAGGAGACAGCATATCAGGACATGACATCAAAACTCCCAGAATGCAGGAAGGGTTTCAGCCAAAGTTCAGCAAAAGTAGGGAGGATGTGGATTGGTATGCACCCAGAAATTACTAATTAGAATATAACATCAGGAAGATGGTCTCAGACTGCATAAACCCAAAGTGGAAGGTATGGAATGAGTGAAACACATCTGTGGAATTCACTAGATGTCCTGTTGGAGGCTCCACTAAGAGGGGTGGAGAATGACTGGGCTAAGACACCGTAGGACGTCCACATCCTGACCAACAAACAAGCAATGATGAAAATGGTCAGAAAACTATACAGAACTAAGCAATCATCAGGTGTGCTTCCATTGTTAAAGTTAAAGTTCAAGTCCCATTAGTTGTCACACACACACAGGTGTGTGTGCGAAATTTGTTCTCCGCATTTGACCCATCCCCTGGGGGAGCGGTAGACACAGCCGCGCTCGGGAACTATTTGGTGGTTTAACCCCCCAATCCAACCCCTTATTGCTGAGTGTCAAGCAGGGAGGCATTGGGTACCATTTTTTCAAAGTCTTTGGTATGACCCGACCAGAAATCGAACCCCTGATCTCCCAGTCTCAGGGCAGACACTCTACCACTAGGCCACTGAGAAAGGTGTTGTCACTTTTCTTACTTGTTGGAGCTTCAGGGTAAATTCTACAAAGGGGAAATTGACTGCGAGATACAATGTTCCACCAAGGCTAGCCAACATATTTGGTAGCTCCGATTTATAATCAGAGTGCTTCGAATGTGTTTCCAAGCAGACCACGGAGCTCTGCACCACTCACAATAGGATTATCCTATTATCTTTAGATTATCTTTGGAGCCTTTACGGTAATTAGGCGCCTCATTAAGTTTGTTGGAATGGGATAATCGAGTCAAAATTTGGCATGATTTTCCTTCTCTATCAACTTAAAATACTGGGAAAAAAGCCCCAACTTTTGATGAACTCGAAGCAAAAGAAACAGAAAAATGAAGGCGTATCAATTCAGTCATTGCCGAGATCCACATCAGATGTAAGGGAACCAGAACTGGCCAGTGGCTGGTAGGCTACACGTGTTTACGAAATACCACAATGAGCTGAGTATAAGTGGTTGTGTTGGGAAATCAACATACAGAATGGATGGACATACCCCTCTCATTGCTCTGTTGGGGGCAGGTTTGAAGCCAAATGGGAGGTTCCTACCACCGCCATTTTGGCAGTGTCACATGTCTTGTCACATCCAGACAATCCAAAAACAGGGAGAGCGATGGAGCTGAGGGTGGGGCCATTACGGCTGGAACAGGGTTGGAACCAAATTAACCAATGTAGCCACTAGCTAACTTAGCTAACCCAAGAAGCTAGGAATGAGCTCCAGGGTAGCACACCCACCCGGCCACCTGGCTTCCGTGCCAAGCTTTCATGCTGGTAGCTTGTGGGGCTATGGCTGTTGAAGTACAAGCAGAGCCTCAGACCGCTGTGATCAGAGACAAGCGCCCTGAGATCAATGGGGGATCAGCTAAATGCTAACTCAAGCTCTGCTATTAGCGAGAGAAACGGGGTAAAGTGACTCCAAAATCGACCCAAAGAGCAGTGGATTCCTAGCATGGAAGCAAGGCGGACACACAGCACATCTCTGAGCCCTCGAAAGATGGGAGCTTGTGGCCTCCTGCGCGTAGCAGCTGTTCCTGGCTGAGAGACAGGAGGGGTTGGGTACCCACCTCGCTGGGCTTCCTCCACAAGGATGAAGCAGCAGGTTTGCAGATCTCCGATCGCAGGACTGCCGCTGTGCTGTTGAAGGGGGAGGCACGTTGCTGAAACGTAACGCAGTGGAGCAGCGAAGCGCTGAAGCTTCTGCTAGCTAACAGCTTACGAGTTTCAGTACCCAGACAGCCAGCCAGCCCGACCAATACATTTCATTTCAACCCATCTTTGAGCAAGCAGCATTTTCTCCCATTCAACCAGTGAAATGAAGTACAGACTTATAATTTTACTTACTGATAGAAAAGAAGCTGAAACTGCTTGGTAGATCTGTTAATGCAATCAATAACCACAGCTTGCCCTCTTTGTCCAAATAATTCCATGATTAACATCCAAACACAAACACATAGAGGACACAACTAAAGTTAAGAGAGTTGAAACGGCCAAACATCTATTAACCTGAGGCCCAGGCTGAGGCCTTCCCCAGAGCTAGCTCCCAGCACTAGCGCTGACATAGCTCTGATGCTCATTAATTATTCAGATTTTAAGCATTTAATTACACTTAAACAGAAGAGTTACAAAAAATCCACCTCCTCAGTCGTCATGAATGTAAACTAGATATTTTAAACCTAAAATATTTTTGAACCAGACTGTAAACAAGTTTATTTCTGCTGTGAAATTAGCATTTTAACATGGGAGTCAATAAGGAACTGCCCATAGTGGATGAGGGTGGAACTAAAATTTTTGCCACTTCAAATTCAGACCAAAATGGCCCCTTGGTTGGGAACGATGGTTTACGACACATTGGGTCATGATGAGGGTAAAGGCTGATCTGTGGCTCCAGTCTGCACGTTCAGGCTGGTTTGTCATTACTTTATAGCTCGTTTGGCAGGTATTTCATTTTCTTTCATGGTTTTTATTCGTCTTCTTTTAGTTTTCCAACAAGCAAGTATTGATTTCTAATTATTCATCTGTCAGTGCTGCTCCACAAACGGTGTTTACCAGTGATATTGTGTTTTATCACCACCATCTGCAACAGGAGGTCAACAAAAGTCAGGCTGGAACAGGACGCTGACACAATGTCTTCAATGTGTTTTTTAAAAGAAGAAATAAGAGAAAAAGGCTGAAGTACCATTCCCAAGACCAGCACGACCCCCCCACCCCCCACCCCCCCACCACCACCACCACCACGTTGTCTACCTACATCTGTATAACTCCATAAACTTGGCTTATTTGGCACATTTTTCATTATTGTTCTTTTAATACTTGTAAATGAGCTCCAGTCCAACCCCCAATTGAAAAACCTCTTCAGCACTGGTCCTGGTTTCGTCTTCTAACTTTGTGAAACTTTGCAAACAATATAAACAACTTCCATGTCTGGAAATGTGAAGACCAGAGAGAGTTGCAGTTTCTGACCCCCAAAAAGAAGGAATTCTCCAATCTGATCATGTGCTCAGAAATTGGGCCCAATCAGGTGATTTTAAAAGGATTGCAAGGCTGTACGTTAATGTTTAAGCTCATACCCACCAGAGTTGGAGCACCATCATAAAGCTCTGTTACAATCTCAAAAACAAAAGAAGTTCTCAGAAGTTCACTAACAAACACTAGTAGTGCATATAATAAAAACACAATAAAGAAATATCTTTAGACATGTGTGTTTGACAGTTTAAGTTCAAAAAGAACATTTTGATTTATTCAAATTAGTGTAGAATTGTTCATTACAGAGGTCTGCTCTCATAGAATAGACATTGAAGTGTAGACGCCACAACGACCGCCACCGTCTATGGCGGCCACATTTGCAGGGTCTACCTTTTATAAAACCTGTGGTTAACAGGATGTTTTAGCTAAGGCTTTTGCTCCGTGGAGATATGGAGCTCTGTACAGCCTTGAATTGGAATCAAGTCGAAAACATCCTATGTAAGCTTTTAAAATAACAAACATGACTTTTTTAATTCATTCTGAGATAAAAAAAAATTTCAAACGGAATAACATTGGCTTAGTTTTAATTTCAACAATTTCCATTACAGTTTTTTTGTCTTGGACAAAAACGAAACACTAATGCCACACAATTTACGACAGGCTGGGATTCAGACACCAAAGTGTAGCTGTTACCTAGCAGGCTGACGCTAAGCTAGCTTCTCCTTGTGGTATTTTAAACCGGTGTCAGTACAGGATCTGCTCGGGTGCAAGATCGGCTCGGGGTCCTGCGACTGCCGATGACGTCAAAGTACGGCAAACCCACTAGGACAAAATACACTACACATCTATACTGTTGGAAAGAATTTAGTAGTTTCATTATTAAAATAATGTTTCTTACGACGTAAGTTTGTGTTTATAATGGTATTTGTAAAATAAAACACTATATTGTAATCATAATGTTGAACTCCTCTTTGAGCACATCCCTTGAAGGATCATAGGTATTAGCAACACCTGTGAAATTGTATTTGCAGGAACGAAGTGTGTCCCGTTTATTGAAGTATTTTGTGTTTAGAGT